TCTGTTCTGATTATCACTTTTTGTTCCGTTTTGGTTAAGTAGGATTTTATTAAATCAAGTGCTATACCCCGTACACCATAACGATTTAGTTTGTCAAATAATATGGAATGATTTACACTGTCAAACGCTTTTGATAAGTCTATTAGGACTGCACAAGCAGATAATTTGTTCTCCAGTAATTTAATGATATGTTGATAAAATTTTACCAATGCTGTAGAAGTACTTTTTGTAGGCAAGTATCCATGTTGAAAGTTTTTGAACAGATTACATTTTATAAAGAATTCAAATAAACGTCTATAAATAACTTTTTCGAAAATTTTGGCAAATGCGGGTAATATACTTATTGGTCTGTAATTCTGTAAGCATTCTTGATCTCCGCCTTTATAAATTGGAATTACTAGGGCCTTCTTTAACTGATCGGGGAAGATTCCTTCATGTAATGAAGAGTTTATTACGTGAGTTAATACAGGGCTTAAGCAGTCAATTACCTTTAAGATTATTTTCAACGGTATTTCATCAATTCCTTTACTATTTTTATTTTTTAAGGCTAATACAATGGCGTATATCTCTTCTTCAGTTGTTGGATTTAAAAACATAGAATCAGAGTTTACAGGAATTAAATTGGAAACATTACATTTACCCTGGCACTGATGTTTTGTATTACATACTAGATTAGCAGCCGCATGCATAAAATAGTCGTTGAAATCGTTCACTAAATTATTGTTGTTTAGGTATTTTCTTGGAAACACATTTTTGTTGATGTTCTGTGATTTAGGATTTGTAACTAGCTCATTTACAATTTTCCATGTTTCCTTGCTTGTGTTTGCAGCATTTTTTAATCTATTAGTGTAATACACATTTTTACTGCTACGCAATAATTGATCATAAACTTTTTTATATTTAATGTATTCCATTTTGTGTTTTGAGTTAACTGTGGATAGTAAGCTCAATATTTGTAGCTTGTCACGTAAGAAATTTAATTGAGGTGTTATCCATGGTATCTTTTTTTTAAGGTAAGTTTTTTTTGTTATTATGGGAAAGTGTTTTTCATATAGTTCTTTAAATAATTTGAAGAAGACAGTCCATTTCTCGTCCGCGCCCAACGTATTGTATAAGATGTTCCAACAGACGTGTTGAAGCTCAGATCGAAATTTTGTAATGTTTGTTTCAGAATGCAATCTGAAAGAAATAGTTTCTTTAGTTACTGACTGTATATGAGGAAACGTAAATATTATTAATTGCCCAAAGTGATCTGATAGTCCAGATTTTAGAATCTCAGTCTTGTAATCAATATTTATCGTTGTGATAATATTATCTACGCATGATTTGCTTGAAGGTGTAACCCTCGTGTACTCGTTTATTGTAGGATGTGCATTATAACATGTTAATAAGTTGACTAACTCAGTTTTGGCTTTGCTATTTGACTTAAAGTCAATGTTAAAATCACCTGATATAACATATAATTTTTTACCTTTGTCTAAAATTTCCAAAAGGGTGTGTCCATGCTATCTATAAATAAATTAATATCACCATCTGGAGGCCTGTAAATACTAACAAGAACTATAGCATCTGTTCCGGTTTTAAATTCAACGCCGCAGCATTCAAAGTTATTTGAAATTGTTAAAAGATCTATTTCTGTACAATAAGAACTTATTGTATGTCGTGAATATATGGCACAACCACCGTGTTGTCCCTTGTCTCTACAAAAGAAAGATACTAGTTCATAACCGTATATTTTTCGAGTTTTTAACTGATGTTGATCCTGCCAGTGTTCAGTTACACACAGAAAATCACATACCTCCTTATTTAGTAAATGTTCTAGTTGCGGTACACAGTTACCTATAGATTGAACATTTTGGTGAATGATCCTAAGGCTGTTCAGATGGAATTTGGACTTTTCAGTTTTATGTTTATTTTCGTTTACTTTTTCTCTAAAAAATGTTCTCCTTTTTTAAAATTGAAACGAGAGTATCGGATTCCTTGAGGCCAGAACTTTTTGCTATAGACCGCTTCAAGATGCTTAGGTTGGACACCAATGAGAAAACATTTGTTGTCCTGTTTTTTGTGATATGGAATAATTTCTTTTACATGTACGTCTGTCTTGTCTTCATTTATTTTCTTTGAAACATAGTCTGAAACAATGTCTGTTGTTACATGTTCCTTCGCTCCCGAAGTAAATAGCCATATTTTTCTTTCTTTTCTACTTGTACCGATGAAAGAATTCTCATCACTCGTTTCTTCTCCAACTTCATATTGATACTTTCTCGGCTTCTTCTTTTTGTGGTGTATTTTCTGGAAAGATTCCCCTTCCTCTATTTGGTCAGGTTTGTAAGACGGGTCACTAACTTTGTTATTTATGATGGGAGCGCTTACACCTTTCGATTGTATTTTTTTGTTATTCTTTGTTGAAGCTGTTGAGTAAGATGGTTTTTGGACAACATCTTTTTCCGCTAGATTAATAACATCGTTCATAATTTGGCGTTGTCGGTCTCTCATTTTTTCCAGATTAGAATTAATTCGGTGGATCGCCGGTTGTTTTTTTGGCACCACCGAGATCGATGGATCTTCTTTATTTACTTTTTCATTAAGCTGATACGACGAGTACTGATCAGTTTTTACGGCATTCATTTCAGTTAATGAGACCTTAATATTCTGCATCTCTAGTGCCAATTGTTCTAACTTCTCTCTCCATTCTTTACTGAAATTACCAAAGGCTGAAATAAATGTAGACTGACATGCCGCCACCACATGAGCCTGAAACGAGGCATTTTTTTCGTCATTTGTGAACTTCCCATCCTGATATGCATCAACCTCATCCTGTAAGTACAGTACTCTCTTCCGTAGTATTTTATTCTGTTCTCTTAGTTCCCGATTTTCCATTTTGAGTAGCGTTGCCTCATTTTTTGTTATGACTTCTTCCACATCTTTGGTTTGTTCGGGTTCCGGTTCTTCTTCAGAATCATACACAGCCTCCGATAAGAGTTTTTGATTTTCACAACACTTCTTTTTAAGTGCACAACTGTTGTGAACATATTGCTTACAGTTTACACAATTCATTCGCTTTTTTACAGCCGGTCTTGTACATATAGCGCATATCTGTTTATCACGTGCCGTACTCATCATCGAACCGTATGATATTTAAATTTTACAACTTTCGAACTTTTGAAGTTTTGATTGTTGAGTATTGATTTTTCAGTTTTTCGTTTTTTTAAACTTCACAGTTTTCGTATTCAAAAACCGAAAAATCTAGAACCGAAAAGTCGGAAAATCGAGCGATTGATAAATCGGAACATAAAGAAACTGAAAAATCTAGAAACTGAAAAATTCGAAAAATTGAAAAGCAGAAATGTTGAAGAACTGAAAATTTGAGATATCTAAATTTTAAAAATCGAAAAATTGAAAAATCCACAGCTGAAATAACGAAAAATTGAAAAATCGAAGAATAAAAAAATTGAAAAATAGAAAAGTCGATTAATTCAAGAATAGAAAGAAATGTTGAAAAATCCCAAAATTGAAATATTGAAAAATCGAGAAACTGAAAAATCCCAAAACTAAAACATCGATAAATTGAGAAATCGAAAAACTGAAAACTCGAAAAATCGAAAATTTAAAAAATCAAAACATTGAAGAATTGAAGAACTGAAAAATCGAAGAAAACCAAAAAAAGATTAATTTAGAAATTGAGAAATCGAAAGTTGAAAAAACGAAAAATCGAAAAACCGATTTTGATTTTTTTTCCAAAAATCTCAATGTCTACGATAAAATTAAACACGGATTCATAAGCCACAATTTGAGGACTGTGTTACTTCTTAACATTTAAAATATTATTTTTTTAATTAATGTAGTAAGACCATTTAGTTTTTATTATAATACTTCTCTAGATCTCCCTGTGAAGGCAAATTACCCTGAAAACACCAACCCCTAAAATTCGAGCGTAGCCAGCACGTTCTGGACACCAACAAATATATTTTTTGAATTACACCTGCTCGCAGCGCTCGCATTTTAAACTCATTTTACGCATAGATTTTTTTATATAAGATAATCATCATCTGACCTGACCCACTATGAGCTGACAAGCATCAGGCTACCAAGTCTTTAAACCAATTTTTCAAATGAAAAGAAAAAGATGATGTCATTTTAGAAAAACCCAAGGGCGTAATCATGCTAGTAGTAGCAACTTAATCAACTTCTCTAAATTTCAAACATGGCTTTTCAACTAACCGAGATATTCAAGTGGAACAAGTGAACTGGGACACCCCGTATATGCCATATACTCCTACATATATTACAAAAAAACTACATTGTTTTTAAAAGAAATAAGCGATAAGCTCAAGGTACGCATACACATTTCAAATAATTGCTTCGATCGTTTCACAAATTATCTACAAAGTAAAAACACACTATACACAGCCTATAGTCGTCAAAAGCTGAACAGAGCCGTTTTTGCCTCACTCTATTTCTGTATACAACCCAAAAATTCAACATATCTGTCACAAATAAATGAGGGTTTTTATCAGAAGAGAAAATTGCTTGATGAATTTTGAAGGAAATGTTCCCGTTTCAGGAAACTTGTTGACCTCGCGGCGTAAGTGTCACTCACACAAACAACCAATTATGATACCAAAACAACATGTGCATTGTTTGGCTACCATGTCGTGGTCAATAAAGTCGTCAATCGACAAATTATAAATGCATTATTGAACGCAAACTTGCAACAATGACACTACGTTTAGCATTAAATTTGACTAAGAAAACGAACATCCTATTCGATTGTAGTTCGTAACAATTAAACAACTGTTATCAGCAACACGTGTACTTAGCAACTCCAGACACCGCGGTCAAAATTTTCAAAACATTAGATAAGAATTATCTTCGTAGTTGATTATCAAACAATAACCCAGACACAATTTCACTCATTTCCTGATCGAAATGGATCCAAGGTGTGTTTAGCTTTCTAGTACGACGACCCCAAAATCCTGTCTAATCCCTCTTCATTTCAGACGCTTACGCGTGGCCATCGCCGTCTTCGCCCGCACCCTCATGCCAGCAGTATTAAAAATCTACTACATCTACCTAAGAAACCAACAATTCGTAGTAGACAACCTTCGGCACCGCTTCGTCCCCACGGTCATCGCTTTCCTCGCCAACAGCCTCTCCGGCTCTTTAGCGTCCGTGCAGAAACACATCCCCAACCCCCTGACTCGGCGTGCTATGAAGAACATCAGCGAAGATCTCGCCCCCTCCATCGAGGACCTCTCCACTAGTGACACTCTCCCGGAGGAAAGCGTGGATTGTCAAGTCCTGTACAGCCCGAAGGAGGATATCCTAGCGGATGTTATTTTCATCCATGGTCTCCATGGGGGGATTGACAGGACGTGGAAGCAGGGGAGCTGGAGGCACGATGGTCACAAACTCAACAAGCAGATTCCCGTCAGGAGCAACTCCACGGGGAATTTGTATGTTCCGCCGAGGAAGCACTCGCTGAAGAGGACTCTTAGTGATATTTACTCCTCGAGGGTGCAGGTTAAGGTCGCGAGGAAGGAGGATGAGGTGTGTGTGGTTCGGAAGGAGGGGGAGTGGGAGATTATAGATGACGTGAATGTGAGTGGAGATGACTGTTTCTCGCAATGTTGGCCTCAGGATTGGCTGCCGAAGGACTGTCCAGGGGTTAGGGTGATAGCTTTGAATTATACGACGGATGTGTTGTGGTGTCCGGTTTGGAAGAAGAAGAGGCAGCGGTGAGTATGGAGGGGATTTTGGTTTTTAAATGAGGGATTTTAGTTTAGTCAGACAATCTCAAATTTGTATTATTTTTTGATTGAATTTCATGTACCCATGAACTGTGTTGACCTATTGACTTTTCAATTGTCATTTGGATGTGGATTTAATATTTAATGGTTTTATTCAGCGACCTACTTAGTACACCTTTGATTGATGTTTTATTGAGCAGAAAAAGCACGTTATGGGGGACACGTGGTATTGATAATGATCTTCAGTATTTATAGAGAGTCATCTAGAATTAACGAATGACATATAGCGCGTTTATTACATATTACAAGCTTTTTACTTCTTGAGCTCAAGACTCCCGTTTCCTTCTGTTTGTCTGTGTGTCTGACGTCCGTGTCAAATTTTATTAGATATGTAATCTTCGAAACTAGTGGACCGATTGTTGTAAAATTTGTATGTGTATTAGGGATATATGGATATATAACTTTTCAAAAAATCCAATTTTTTTTGACATCACAATTTTTCGTTTTTCATTTCCTTTCGCTTCCTCGATTTGATATCAAATTTTTTGGTTTCGTTTATTCAATTTTTCAAATTTTCAATATTTGATTTGTCAATTCACAGATTTTCCGATTTTTAAATTTTTCAATTTTCCGATTAACCGATTTCTTTAATTTTCAATATTTCGATTTTGAAGATTCTTAGTCGAATCTTTTGATTTTTGAATTTTCATTTTCATTTAATATATTTTGGTTTTTCATTTATGATTTTTGAGTTTTACAATTTTATTCCAAATTGAAACATTGAAAAAGTAAAATCCAAAAATTATGAAATCGTCAGAATTGTCAAATGGAAAAAGTGTATCACTGAAAGATCGAAAAATTGAAAAATTAAAAACAGAAAAATTGAAAAATCGAATAAATGAAAAAGTTTTAAAGTTCAATAATTGAAAAATGGAAAAATTTTAAAATTGTGTGAAACTTTTTAAAAATTATAAATATTATTACACACTTAAAATGAAAACTGGAAAAATTGCAAATCAGAAATTGAAGAAACGAAAAATCTAAATCTGAAAAAACGAACAATTTAAAAACCTGAATGTTGAAAAATCAAAAAATTGAATTAGATTTTTTTAATTTTCGGCCTTTCGATTTTTCAATTTCTCGTTTCTCGAATTTTTTATTCTTCAGTTTTTCGATTTTTTTAAATTTTACATTCTTCGATTTTACGGTTTTTCCATTTTTCGACTTTTTGATTTTAGAATTTTCGATTGTTCGACTTTCGTTATTTTGTTTTTTCTATATTTCGTTTCTTGAATTTTTGGATTTTTCGAAATCCCGATTTTCGAATTTTTCATTTTAGAATTTTCGATTGTTCGATTTTCGTTATTTTGTTTTCTCTATATTTCGTTTCTCGAATTTTTGGATTTTTCGAAATCCCGATTTTCGAATTTTTGATTTTAGAATTTTCGATTGTTCGACTTTCGTTATTTTGTTTTTTCTATATTTCGTTTCTTGAATTTTTGGATTTTTCGAAATCCCGATTTTCGATTTTCAGATTGTCTAATTTTAGGTTTTCCGATTACTCCGATTTTCGTTTTTTCGAAGATCTGATTCATCGAATTTTCAATTTTTCAATTTTTACATTCTTCGATTTTACGATTTTTTAATATTTCAATTTTTTGATTTTTCCATTTTTCGAGTTTTCAATTTTCGGTATTCGATTTTTTTTTTAATTTCGTTTTCAGGATTTTTCAATTTTTCCATTTTTCGACTTTTCGATTTTGGAATTTTCGATTTTTCGTGTTTTCTATATCTGGATTCTTAATTTTTGGATTTTTCGGTTTTAAGAAGATCTGATTCATCGAATTTTCGATTTTTCAGTTTCACAATTTTGTTCGAAATTGAAACATTGAAAAACTAAACACCGAGAACCTTAAAAATCGAAAAAAAATAATGAATCGAAAAATTGGAAAGACGAATAAACGAATCGAATCGAAAAATTGTAAAATCGAAAAATTATTAAATCGTCAGAATTGTCAAACCGAAAAACTGTAACACCGAAAGATCGAAAAATTGAAAAAGTTTTAAAGTTGAATAATTGAAAAATGAAAAAATTTTAAAATTGTGTGAAACTTTTTAAAAACTATAAATATTATTCCACACTTACCATGAAAACTAGAAAAATTGAAAATCAAAAATTGGAGAAACGAAAAATCTAAATCTGAAAAAGCGAAAAATTTAAAAACCTGAATGTTGAAAAATCAAAAAATTGAATTAGATTTTTTATTTCTCAATTTTTTCAATTTCTCGTTTCTCGAATTTTTTATTCTTCAGTTTTTCGATTTTTTTAATTTTACATTCTTCGATTTTACGGTTTTTCCATTTTTCAAATTTTCGATTTTCGGTATTCGAAGTGTTTTAATTTCGATTTCTGGATTTTTCAATTTTTCCATTTTTCGACTTTTCGATTTTGGAATTTTCGATTTTTCGTGTTTTCTATATCTCGATTCTTAATTTTTGGATTTTTCGGTTTTAAGAAGATCTGATTCATCGAATTTTCGATTTTTCAGTTTCACAATTTTGTTCGAAATTGAAACATTAAAAAACTAAACACCGAGAACCTTAAAAATCGAAAAAAAATAATGCATCGAAAAATTGGAAAGACGAATAAACGAATCGAATCGAAAAATTGTAAAATCGAAAAATTATTAAATCGTCAGAATTGTCAAACCGAAAAACTGTAACACTGAAAGATCGAAAAATTGAAAAAGTTTTAAAGTTGAATAATTGAAAATGAAAAAATTTTAAAATTGTGTGAAACTTTTTAAAAATTATAAATATTATTACACACTTACCATGAAAACTAGAAAAATTGCAAATCAAAAATTGGAGAAACGAAAAATCTAAATCTGAAAAAGCGAAAAATTTAAAAACCTGAATGTTGAAAAATCAAAAAATTGAATTAGATTTTTTATTTCTCAACTTTTTCAATTTCTCGTTTCTCGAATTTTTTATTCTTCAGTTTTTCGATTTTTTAAATTTTACATTGTTCGATTTTACGGTTTTTCCATTTTTCAAATTTTCGATTTTCGGTATTCGAAGTGTTTTAATTTCGATTTCTGGATTTTTCAATTTTTCCGTTTTTCGACTTTTTGATTTTAGAATTTTCGATTGTTCGACTTTCGTTATTTTGTTTTTTCTATATTTCGTTTCTTAAATTTTTGGATATTTCGAAATCCCGATTTTCGAATTTTCGATTTTCAGATTGTCTAAGTTTAGGTTTTCCGATTACTCCGATTTTCGTTTTTTCGAAGATCTGATTCATCGAATTTTCAATTTTTCAATTTTTGGATTTTTCAATTTTTACATTCTTCGATTTTACGATTTTTTAATATTTCAATTTTTTGATTTTTCCATTTTTCGAGTTTTCAATTTTCGGTATTCGAATTGTTTTAATTTCGTTTTCGGGATTTTTCAATTTTTCCATTTTTCGACTTTTCGATTTTGGAATTTTCGATTTTTCGTGTTTTCTATATTTCGATTCTTAATTTTTGGATTTTTCTGTTTTAAGATCTGATTCATCGAATTTTCGATTTTTCGCTATTGGCATTTTCAATTTGCTTCCTTTTCAGTTTTTCATTTTTTTTATTTTTCAATTCTTCGATTTTAAAAATTTTTGATTTGTGATTTTTTTAATTTTCCATTCTTCAGTTTTTAGATTTTTCAATTTATACTTCCCGGCCGTAAGCGAGTCTGTACTTTTACGTTTTCTCGATCTTTCATGACCCCTGGAGTACAAAACGATAGGTCTCCCGTTTCCGTCTGTCTGTCTGTCAGTCTGTTGTCCGTGTATCTGTCTTTTGTCCGTCTGTCTGCCGTCCCGGATTCATAATAACAGATTATCCGACTTTCCGATTTTTTTAATTTTCAATATTTGGATTTTGAACTTTTTCGATTTTAAAGCTTCTCAGTTTTAGGTTCTTAATTTCTAATTTTTAGATTTTTCAAAGTTTTTATTTTATCTACATATTTTGGTTTTTTATTTTTGATTTTTCAGTTTTCCAATTCTGCAATTTTTACATTTTTTGATTCGAAAATTTGAAAAATTTAAAAACTGAAAAGTTGAAACATTGAAAATGAAAGTACAGAAGAAACGAAAGATTGAAACTTTGAGAAACTAAATACATATTGAGAACCTTAAAAATCGAAAAAAATTAAAAAATTAATGAATCGAAAAATTGGAGAGAAGAAAAAACGAATGGAATACAAAAAAGTGGAAAACCCAGTAATTGTAAAATCGAAAAACTATGAAATCGTCAAAATTATGAAATCGAAAAAGTTTAACACTGAAAGATCGAATAATTGAAAAATTAATTATCGAAAAACTGAAAAATTAAAAATCGAATAAATGAGAAATGTAAAAATCGTAAGAAACTTTTTTAAAATTAGAATTATTATTACTCACTTGAGTTTTAAATAATCGAAAAATATGATAATTAGTTTTTCCATTTTGGGCTCTTTCGGTTTCTCGACTTTCGATTTCTCGATCTATTCATATTCTTCGATTTTTCGAGTTTTCGATATTTGAATTGTTTTAATTTCGATTTCTTGATTTCTCTAGTTTTCGACTTTTAGATTCTAGGATATCTGATTTATCGACTTTCGATATTTCGCTTTTTCTGTTTCGATTCTTGAATTATGTTTATGCTTTCCGATTTCTCCGATTTTCGTTTTTTCGAAAGTTTGATTCATCGAATTTTCGATTTTTCAATATTCGAATTTTCAATATTTTGATTCTTTGATTTTTCATATTTACAATTTTTGTTGTTTTTTAATTTGGATGTTTTGAATTTTCCATTCTTCAACGTTTAAATTTTTCAATTGTTTTTACTTTTCGATTTTTCTAATTTTCGGTTTCATTTTTCAGTTTTTAGATTTTTTTAATTTTTTTGGTTTTCAATTTTTAATTTGATTTCTCGGTTTTTTGATTTTTCAGTTTTTCGATGTTT